CTTGCGTGGGACAACTTTTCTCCCTCAGTAGTCAGTATTTATAATAGAATCATCAGAATTTCACAACGCATAGGTAAGAGCTTTATCTGTATCGTAGCGTCGTTATTTTTTTGAAGGCACAAACCAATAATGTTTRATAATTAAATGAAAAAATAAAAATAAATGTATTTTCTTAAGCTAATAACTTTAATTATACTTTGTTATTAAAAAAACAACGACGCTATGACRCAGCACGCAGATAAAGTTTTTACTTGAGTTGTAGAATTCTGATTATTCTATTATATAAATACTGAGGGAGAAAAGTTGTCCAGCGCAAAACCGTTTTTGCTATTTTTTACGTTTGGTAAGACCGAGAGCGAGACAGCGCATGCGGGTGTGGCGTCCTCTTAACATATTTTGAGAGGAGTTTTAAAATAAGCGAAAAAATTCGTGAAACTATTCACAATATTTGTCGGATAAGTGGATAAAATATGTTCCGCCTTGGCCAAAATTTGAAAAAAAAGTGGATGTATGAGTAGTTTTTGGAACAACTTTGCTCTATAAGTATGAAATATAGTATAAATAAGGGTTCCCTTATAAAGATAAGAATATAYGGTATAAAATAATATATTGTCAAATGTGTTTTGGATATTTAAATCACAAAAAATTAAATTATGATTAATATTACGAATTGCTTTTAAAAATTAGTTTGTTATTGAATAAATGGCTGAGCAATTATAATTATATAACAAAGAAATAAAATTCCTAAATTGACTGAAATTATTATAYTTGATTGATAAATGAAAAACTGTTAAATTTATCTAAATATATTAATATTTTTACTTTAGATTTATAAATGTTTGATTTAATAACACTRTCAATTCTGAAAATCTAATAGGTACTTGTCGAATTGAATGAAATCATGATTATAACATACGAGGAGGATCACACGAGGGATACTAATTTTACAATTCAAATTAATAACCTCTATAATTATATACTGTATATTTTAATAGACAGTCAAGAATTGGTGAAGAATTTGCAATATTTTTGTTGTAAGTTACCTACATTGTCTTAGATACCTATTATTTAAAATAAATTAATCGTAGAACTTGTTCTACTTGTTTTAAGTAAAATAATAATAATAAAATACATTTTTGTCTTAAGAGGACACTACACTGACATTTGTTGTCTCCTTCTTACAAGTGCATTACATAGCAGATTTACACTCTACAGATCAGCTTTAGCACCGTTAGTTTAAAAATTAGAGTGTACCGATCCATTATGAATCTTGATGGTGAGAATATTACCTGTGTTTGTATATGGGCTTTTTATGATGGTTCTATTTTTTAGCAAGTTTTGCATAGACTTAATTAGTGTATATCAAAAATGTTTATAAAACATGTAATAACTGAATATATGTATGTAAGGAATAAATAATCAAGATTAAAACAAAACTGCCAAAAWGATATACAAATTAATAATATGCACTTAATATTACGTTACAAAAATACAACATTCCAAAAATTTTTCATTCCCTGATGTCTAAATCAGATTTTCATTTTAAATGCAAAATCTTAGTCCTGGTAATATATGAAGGTAAAATAGTACAATTAATTTGCTGTTTAAAAAATTAAGAAAAATAATATAGATATTTTAATATTATTTTGTATTGAAGGATATTATAGTATCTTGCAAAACATGAATTTTATGCCAATTATAACACAAATTATTTGAAATTATTACTCACAACAAAACAAGATATTTGGAACTCATCATATATTATAGGATTAGCTACCTATGTTTGAAATTACAATTTTATTTGAACTTGAGTTGGTGATAATTATAATTTATTTAAGACAAACATAAAATAGGTAGATAATTATACACAAATTGTTAGATTAGTATAACAATTGGTATGAATAAATGTATTTTTGGACAGTGATAAGGTCAAATTCAAAATAAAAAGTTAGTTATATAGGTATAACTGATTATGTTTTTGAATAAAAATCAAAGTTTTTTATTTAATATTAATAATTACCTTGAGGTCTAATGTATATATATGGTGGTAAAATACCAAGTCTAGAATCGTGACTTCAAGTTAATATACTTATACAGGTAAGTTATCATAATGTTTATTAGGTTTCAAATAATTATATTGCTACAAAATCCAGGTGGTACTTAATATTTTATCATTAAAGTTAATGCTTATTATCATTATTTAGTTTTTGAGTGTAGTGGTAGGTACAGCAAAATTTTGTTTTAAATTTAATCTAACATTGAAAAAAAAGACAAATATATTCCTTGATTTAATAATTTAGTTGAAAGAAACTCATAATGCCTGTATAAACATATAATAATTTTTTTCACCACAGTAAAGATTTTATGTAATTAGTTATGACTCAATGACTTAGCATTACTATAAAATTGTATAGTTTGCTTTAAGATATATCACAATCATAAGCATTTATTTTATTCATTTAACAATCATACAATATTATTATTCTCAATGCATTATACTCCAAAAGGGGATAACAACCAAACAATTAAGTGAGAAGGTCAAGAAATCCAAATGCGATAGTAAACCGAAACGTCTTCGACACGTTATAAATTATGATACAACAAATCGTCATCATCTAGCAATAAAACTTAATCATAATTGATCCGTTGATATAATAACGACGAACAATATAATCATGATGCAAAATAGGTATTATATTTATATAAGTTATAAAGAATCGAAAAAAGTACCAATAATTATCTAATAATATGTACTATGTTATATACATAACGAAATAAAATGCTTACATTGTGAACAATAATAACCGTAGTTTGTTGTAGTATCTCGGCGTGTGCGCGATTTATTCGAACTGCCTTGGTGCGGCCGTATTACAACTCTGTAATAATTACAGTAATATATTATTAACGTGTTTGGTCTGACGTTGGCGCTTGCAATTAAAAGCAAAACGAATGTCTTCTAAATTAAATTTGTTCTTAGATCAAATTGGCGACGCGATTCAAAAATCAAAAACGAGTAAACGACTGACCACTGACGTATATTGTAACTATTATTATTATTATTAATTGATGTCGAYGTATGGGAATAATAACCCGTACGGGAGCGATAGTAAATTTTCGATAATATTCGATAAAAGCGTGGAACACGAAAGAGCAACAGTGATTTAAGCAGTCAGTTAACAAATTGCCCGGAACTGGTTGACAGGAGAACCCGACAACTACGACAACTCACGCCACCGTAACGGGAAATGTGGCAGGTAAATTGGCCACAGTGATTGTTATCACAGCGGACGGCCGACAGTGCAGCCAACGAAGCTCGGTTGCCCCTGGTTCAAGACACACTGCAATCGGACTAACGAATCGTTTTTCGGCGGGTTTTTTACTTTACACTTGTACAGTAAAGTTCCCACTTGACACTAATTCGCAATACTCACATGCCGCCCAACGCTTGTCATTACTCATTAGTCATAACTTAACTCATTATTAAAATTAAATATACTTTATACCATACACGTACGTGTTACGCCGAGCATAATAGCCTATAAGTTATTACTGATTATTAATTTTCTCATTTCTTATGCGATGGCGTCAAAACAGTACTATATTAATTTTTAGGTTTACATCGTACTAAATAAATTGTTATATAATTTTATTATGCATGTATCATCTAATTAATTATGTTTATTCATTAGTTACAAATCTAGTACGAATTTATTGAGCTGTTATGACATTAACTTGGCCAGCTTCGAAAATAATTATTTTCAATCATGATTAAAGATATCATCCCTACATTATATAGTACTTTAGTCTATAGTTGGTTTATGTTGATAATGTAATATAGAATCACAATATTCATTATCAAGTGTGTTTTAAGAATTTATACTTTTAATATTGATAATTAAACATTGTACAATAAAAAAATAATAATATATTGTCCAATCTCCTGGTTTGTCTTAATATTTGAAGACGTAGCTCATATATTATTATATAACCTATATCCTGTCGCCAAACTCAAATGATACACTTTGTAATATACCATTTACTGATTAGGTAATGACGTATTGATTGTATTGTATTATTTATATTGATCATTTATTAATTCAACAAACGTCCGTTAAAGGTGAATAAGGCAAATAGTGGTAAACTATAGTATTCTATTTCATTAAAAACGACACGTCGTAAAATACCACATTATTATCAGGTCATTTCCAATGAAATCTCGTATACAACGCGTGTCGCATAGTAGMTAATATACGTTATGATAATTGTGACGTGTACATTTAATTCGTATTTAAAACTGTATGCTAATCAGTAATCATAAACGACATAAACCATTATTGTCTTGTAGAAAACGATTATGAGTAATTCATAAGCAATTAACATAGTATATGTGCAGGAAATACTTTTTTTTACAACCAAGAGTAGAGGGGTTTTATGGATGACCCACTGTTGAACAAAAGCGTAGAATGATAATTATTGTCAATTTAAAGCTATAGAGACCAGCAGATTCCTGATAWTTTTTTCTTACATAAAATGTCTTCATTAAATTATATTAATCTATATTTAATATCAAAAAATATTGATAACACTTCAATCTTAAAAAATCATAAATTTAGAGAAAAACTTTCTAACATTTGTWCAAATTTATGAATTGAAGTATGTACAATATAAAAAAAACTAAGTATTTAATGCAACACAAAGTTAAAGTACTTATTATTTATTATACGTTATAGAAAAAATAATATGTAATTTTATTTAAATTATTAAGCAACATGAAATAATCACGTACATATTTACAATTCAGTATTCTGAATTTTAAGATAAGAATGTCATATTTTATCCAAAATTAATAAAAAAAATCTATTTAAGTAATTTTTAATTAATTAATCCCAGATTTTTCTGTATATAAAATATTGAATACATTTTCAAAATCTTAATACAAGATAAATTAATAAAATAAATTGCATTTCATTCAATAACTTGTTTTAGCTAAAATGTTCATTAAGGTATAAGTTATATTATTAAGACTGACAGATTACAATTATATAAGCAACTGATTTTATTATGATATTAAGTGTACATATAAATTATAATTTCTAAACGTTACAAATATTTGAGTTTAAAGTTGTATGTTCATTAAGATCCTGATCAAATAATTCATCAACAGCTTTGACTGATTCTAATATGTCATCAATAAATGGTCTTTTGAAATGATCTACTGTTAGCATTACCTTAACTAAATTGTTGACACTCTAAAAAAAAATCATTCATAATAATAAAACATATTACATAGAGAAAGATTTTAAATGTTATCTATAAAAATGATTACTTCGTTAGAATTTGGAGGAAAATAAATTTTTCCACTTATCACAGCCAAAGCAACAGAATCTCCGCGTTCATATACCAAGTCAAAGGGTGACTTTTTATAAAGCATTGCATATAGTAAACATCCTAAGGACTAAAGACATTAAAAGTAATCAGTATAATGTTTAAAAAATTGAATTTTAAATATATATTATTTAATACTCAGAATATAGAAACATAGGAATATACTCATGATTTGTTTTAAATTTATCTTTAAATGTACTTTAATAATGTTTAATGTACCTACTAGGTTAGAAATACCTAGTTTAAAGATAACTTTTTTAAATTTTATATATAAAAGTGGTTAATAATTATTTATAATACAAATATCTATATTTTCTTTATTTATGCTTTGAGTGCATTATACAATGTATAATGTGTGTCATTCTGTCAGTGTAATACACTACAATACTAGTTATAAAAATATTATGTAAGTATGAAATATGTATAAAAATAATAATTGTTATTTGATTTATAAACAATACAAGTTTAATTTATATTTTCTTTTTTAATTGGACACCTAAAAAATAATTATAAAACTTGTCTCGTCACAAGATCTTTTAATGGAGCAGTTACTTGTTATATAAATATATAATATGACTTAATGATTGTAAATGCATAAAAATAAACTTTTATTGTAAGATAGTATTGAGTTCATTACATAATTATTGATAAATACAATTTACAGTTCATAAGAATCAATATATTATTGATTACATTATTCAACACACAAATATAACTGTAAATTACATAATATTCTAAAATAATCTCATCTATTAGAATCAAAATATATGAAGTTAAAATGAATAAGAAAATGCTATTTTCAATCCAAAATTAAATAAAGTTTTTATTTGATTATAAAAAATTGTAATATTTTGGTTTAAACTTTAAAAAAAGTTGATTGTAATCGRATTTCTTTTAAACAGGGAAACAATTTGTAATCAGCTTCAGTGAAATTTTTTTTGTACTTGATCCAAAAATATTGGTATTTGAAGACCTCTAAGATGAAAATAATAAAAATTTTACTGAAAGGGTTATATAGTGTACTAAAAACCACTATAAAGTAAGTGTCTCAAAAGAAAAAATATATTGTTTAAAAAATTAAAAATTGATTTTCAATATATGTCCTGGTGGTTGGTAGGAAACTAGGAAAGTGAATTTAGTTAGTAGTTTGAGTGGGGTAAGTAAAAATGAAAATTTTCATAAAATTTCATACAAAAAAAAAGAAATTTTAATGCAAAATCAGCTTTTCACAAAATTGATTTTCATATTTTGTTATGAATTGTAAAACAAAACCAATAACTGAAGATACTCGTCATTTTTACTTAATGTTTATGTTAGTATTTTTTATAAACATAATAATTTTCATAATATTTAGATTCTTTTTAATCTATTTACGTACAACTCCTGTTTTAAGTTTTTTCAATGATTGTTGATAAAAAAATGTTCAAATAATAATTTAGAATATTCTAAAAAGTTGAAGTTTTGTCTATGAATTTAATTACATTTTTATCAGTACAGTTATATATTACTATGTTCTTACCCAGACATCAATTCGTTCATCAATAACAGAATTAATATCTATATTAAACAATTCCGGTGCTCTGTATGTCATTGAACATCTTTCATTCACATCATCTAGAAGTTCTTGTGCTTCTTTTTTTGAAGTCACTGTTATTTTGGCAGGAGCAGCGGATCCTATAAAATGCATTCTTTGAAATAATATTTAAATTGTTTTTTAATAGTTTAACAACCTCTCAAATGAAGTAGTCACCTAAGTCAATAATCACTGGTTCATTGCTATCATTAAATAATATATTAGCCGGTTTTATATCTCTATGTGAATAAGAGWGATCATGAAATGTCTTTACACTCAAACAAATTGATCGAAAATGTTTTAATATATGTTTCAAATCCATATGATAATGAGGTTTAACTAAAAAGTCATATAACGATCCATTCTAGACAAAGTAAATAATAAAAATAAATTTTGTATGTGGTATAYAAATTATTAAGTACAAATCGTTGGATTTATAATATTATGGCCAGTTGTTACCATTTTACCAACTTACTTTGTAATAAGGTAATAACATAAGAAATGTATCTGTTGGTGTTTTTGAAAATTCTGATGATTTCTCAATCATTTCACATCCAATTAAATCAAGAACATATTTGTTTCCATCGCTTTGTAAAAGTTGATGAACCTTGGCTTCATTCCAAGCCTTCTCGCGGTCTTTTTGATCATGGCATAAGATACATTTCAATACAAATTTCATATTATCACTATTTTTCACAAGAAACACTGAACTAAAACCACTGAAAATATGAAAAAAATACAAATAATATAATATATTTTTATATTTACTTAATACTTATAGATTYCAAGAAGGACAAAATTTGATTTTACTTATCATGGCACACTGATAGATTAATTAGATATAGTTGGACTTTTAGAAATTTAAATAGCATAAATTGGTAGTACCTATCTATAAATTGATGGGGATAGTATGATAATGTAGTTCTAGAAATGGTAAATGTTATATTATTTTAAGCTAATGTCGAGATTATAGTGCAAGTATAAATGTCCAACTTTCAGTACATYTATATTTTGTGTAGGTACCTAAGTGTATTATACATAGTATAATTACATTGTAGAAAAAATTATTAACATCATAAAAAGTACAAGGAATAAATTAAAATATATACTACAAGTATACACTTAAGTACTTAACTAGAATTGTAATTGATGGATACTCAATATGACAAAGTGTGATACATTTCTATTTGGTACCTATACMTAATTATTAATTATAATACAATTTAAAAAATAACAAGAAATGTAAAAATATTATGGGATAAAAATAGTTTATAAGTAATATTACAGTAACATCATGGTCAGGTAAGGCCAACCAAAGTACACCTAGCAAGCATTCTCGAGTGTATCAAATACCTACATAAGCCCCCCAAATGATTAAAAAAAAAAAAATCAAAAACTTAAATCACGTTAGTTACTTATAGTGAATTTCAAGTTTCTTTTTGAAGCAATAGTAATTATTTTCTACATTCCATTAAGAAAATTGCAATGATATAAAATGTCAAGCAAAAATATAGCATTGTCAATGTATTGTATTATTTACGTTGGTCAATTAGTATCTGAAGCTTTAATGTGTATGAAAAGCTGAAATTATTTAATCACTAAACTATAGATCAAGAAATTTAAGTGCATTYAATAAAATTACCCTTGTCCAATTTGATCATGCACATAATATTTGTTATCTTGTATTGTGACATGTTGTTTTTCACAGGCACAACCCATGATTACTTAATGGTTTGGAGCTTAAGCTGTTCATTAATGGTTAAATGTCATCAATTAATTTATTACATAAAACATAAAACGAAAATAAGATACAAATAATTAAAACGCAAAGGTAATATTAATGTTTCACCAAATTTATTTTGTAGCGAAATTAACATTTTTGCGGTTTTTACTTTTTCAGTAGATAATAATGTACAACATATTAGATAATAGATAAATGATGACTTATAACYAAGTATGTATTTTACATTTTATCCTACTCAAATAATTATAACAGAATTTTTAATATTTAATAGTTAATATGAATCATGATTCATGGGCTATGTCAAATGATAATAGTATTATCACTGACTATTCCATTCGTATCATTATAGAACATGGTATCACGCACGATTAAAGATAATATTATCTTTAATCGTGGTATCACGGTTGGTTAATAATGTCTCAAAACCTACCAATTCAAAAAAAATACTTGAAATTGCATAATTCATAAAATTCTAAGAYGATTGTTGAAAAATTCAATAATTTCTATCGAAACTTCAACTCGTTATCATTTAGTCAATTATAATTTTAGAGGTATAGTAAAAGGGATTAAATTGACTTAAAAAATTCGGTTTAACCTTTAACCATATCTGTTGTTGAAAGAAGATATTACTATTTAAAAATATGCAAGTTGTGTCGTCAGTTCGTCACGTATGCACACAATAAAGAGTTAAAAATTCAAAAATTCAAAAAAAATGTGTATATCAACAATCCCTAACTATTTAAAAACATCCCACCCTAATCCAATATCACTGGACAACATTTTTTAGAGTTAACTTTTAAACTTTAAAAGTGAAAACCTTTAAAATTTAAAAGAATCACTCTGTATATCGTATATACAAGTATACAGCCGTAATTCTGATTCACATATTTTATTGAAATTTAATTTTCATATCATGGACTAAGATATACTAACACTAATTAGTAATTACTTAGTATTCTTTCTTCTCGAAGACCCGAATTAGGTATTAGGTATGGTATAGTGTTTTGAATTGGCGTAAAAATTAGAACTTCACATTAATACATTGAAAAACTTAAAAATTTMTATTTCAAATAGGATATTTGTGCTCATAATAAAATAAAAATTMGAAATTATACAATGCTCAATTAATATTGAGCTAAKGGGTGGGTTTTACCGTTAATAAGGGTAGGGGGATAGTTGAGGCTCAAGAATTTACGTAGTTGTATTTTAAATCTATATAAAATTTTAATTATCATAATATGTTTTTACTAATGAGCCAATCATTTTGTTTTTTTGTTATTTATTTGTWTCACAATAATAAATTAACAACATAYTTTAAATAGTTATATTGCTATCAATTTTCATCTGAAACCATTTATAAAAGTAAYGATATTAAAGTAACCTAATCACAAAAATGAACTTTTTATTTAAAAAAAATATTTATATTACATTATTAATTCCAAGTTTCTTATTTTAACCTTWGAAAATTGTTCAATGGTATTATTATTTATTATCTGTTGAAACTATATTATTTAATGAAGATATTTTATAATAATTATTGATACCTAGGTGTATCCGTGTATCATATTCATAATATTTATCTTAGAAAAATAAATAACTTAGTTTCTAATGCTCACATAGCCCCTTCCTTAAACCCACCACTTTTTTAAATTTTTTTCTATGGTATCGAGGACCGGAGAAGGAACTATGTTGCCAATACTTCTCCTCCGGAATACTTCTCCTCCGGACCTTAAACCCACCACTGATTTTGCTTTTAAATTTTTGATTGTTTTACTAAATATCTATACATTTAAGTTAAGTGTTTAYCAACAAGCTACAACAATAATAATAGGTTATAATATAAATATAATTTAGTGCAAAGTTATAGGCTAGAAGTAGGTACCTATACATTATTAGGTATAGGTACCTACCACCTATTACCTAGTATTGTCATTTTAAATTAAAATTAATTGTAAATTTTAAATCATTTTATTGATTTGGAACAAGTTTTAATAGGTATATCTAATAATAGAAAAATAGATAGGAAATCCACTCAATCACTTTAATAAAAGGGAAATATAATAAGGTGTCAAAACCAAAAATCTACCAATTTAAAAACAGTAATGAAAGATCACGCAGTCACGTTTACAATAATATAATATAATCGTTTAATTTGATATAAAGTCAATATAATATTTGTATTTCCCTACATATTCTACGATAGGGGCAATTTGGGGGGACTTAGAAGTTAGAGGGGCTTAGTCCCTTAAAAAATTTGTATTTTAATTTAAGTATTAAATCCTTTATTAATTACCTAATATACATAAGAGTTATACCTACTGTTTATATAATTATAATCATTGTTTGAAAWAATTATTTTCATTTTTCGTATGTTATATCGTTATCCATATCGGATCACCCGCAAAACATTATTTAAGTTTAATAATAGTTTAACAAATTATTATATTGAATGGGATATTATGTCGAATGAATTCTCCAACGAACAAATTTTTGAATAAATTTGCATGTCGAACCGACGCTTACAATTATAACATAATATATTTCATGTAAGTATCTAAATGTTGTTATTTGTTTTAGTGAAAATAATTTTCCTTTTAGTAATAGATGTATATTATTAAAATMAGATTTTGGTATTTAAAATGGTATGTAAACAGGGGGTGTGGGGTTAGAGTCTTCCACGGGACTGTTTCATTTAATATGTAAAGCCCCTCCAAGTTAAAAAATGAAATTGCACTGATGAGTCTACGATTCTATTATTCTACATATTCTACAAAATAATTATGATTATAATTACAATTTAATGTGACATAGTTATGAAAAAATTAATTAAATGCAAGTTCTAGTTTAATAACTTTATAATTGATGCTCAAATATTAATAATAATAATTAGAAGTATACGCCCAAAATCCCCTATACAGGGTGTCCCGTGAGGATTTACCTATTGCAATATCTCCCGAAATAATGCTGATATCGAGAAATTCTGGTTTTGTAATAAAACTCAGAGGGATAAGAACTAAAATTGTTTCATATTTTAATGTTTTGGTAAAAAAGTTAAAAAATAAATGTTTATATTTAACTATTTCCAAAAGAAATTAAAGATCGCCATTTTTTAGAGTTTATTAGTAATATTTACGTTTCAAAATKTTATTTTCATTAATTTCCAGATTTTTAATATTTTTTTTAGTTTCGAGAAAAATYGTGAATTATTTAACAYCATAATGTTATCAAACAAGTGACCCGCCGCGCCGCGCGCATTCCTCGTAAACGGTCGGCTGAATACCTATACTTTCCGTGTTCCTATTGTTCCTAATAGTAATAATAAATTTATAATCATATTTTATTTCTTCAAAACTAGAAAAAATATAAAAAAATCTGGAAATTATGGAAATAAAATTTTGAAACTTCAATATTTTCAGACAAATAACAAAATGGCTATCTTTAATTATATTTTTTAAATTTTTTACAAAAACATTAAAATAAATTTAAAAAATAAATAATTGTAGTTCTTAACCCTGTGAATCTAATAATAAAACCAGAATTTTGATATCTCCATTATTTCGTGAAATATCGCAATGGGTAAATCCTCGCCGGACATCCTGTATAGAAACCAAAACAGATGAAAAATCACTTATCGACACGCATAACATGTTACTGAACTCGCGTTATGTACCTATAATATAATAATATTTTTAACTTCTTAACAGATGAAGAAAAAAAATTACATATTTGCGTGTATTCCTTTAATGTTTCATATCTATTTTTAATCTTGAATATTATTTGAAATCAAAGTTTTGATTAATTGAAATATAGTTTAAAAAATTAATCATAATAATAATTGAACTTATTTGTTTTTAATTAATTTAACAATTCATCATATTAAGTGTTGCATTATTCATTGATTCACCTAGGTACTTGTATACAGAGTGTCTTACGATGATCTGACATATAGAATAACTTTTGTTGTATTTAATATTTTAAAATTTTTGTTTTTCTATATTATTCATAGACACTTGTGCTACATTTTAGCAGAATTTTTAATATTGAAAATAAAAAACTCAAAAATTGATACAATTTTTTTTGGATAAATTCAAAATAGCCTATTTAGGAATCTAATTAAAAGAAAATTTTGATGGTTAGGTTAGATATATCTAAGTCAAGTAGTTTATTTTTATAATTTGTTTTAATTAAATATTTTTTTGCTTAAATTCATTTGAAAGGTAAAAACTTTTATGATTTTTGAGAATTTGCTAATATGAGTATATTTCTTAAATTATTTACTCATCATATAATATTAACAATTTTTATCGTATGTTTAATATTGTATATAATACAATGATCATTGTACCATTGTAGGATCGTATAAGTACCTACAGAAATTAAATATTTCTTTTTGACAATAAAGTTTATTAATTTATACTAGCACAATAAAAAAAGGTATAATAGAAAAAGGCAAAAATTGAAAAAGATCTTTAAAACTACAAATGTTTCAATTGTATTTTTAAAATAAATTTATTAAAAATAATTGCTAAGTAAGTTGGAGCAAGTAGTAGGTACAAATAATCACATAAAACAAGCCAAAAGCTAGACGAAACTGTCTAATTTGTGTTTGATGGATTTTAATTTTGAAAAATAATTGAAAATCTTTAAAACTCTATTAAATAAGCATGTGCCCTAAGGATTTATAATTATTAATTATTGCAAAAGGCAATGGAGTACATAAATATATAAAATACCGAAATCCTTAATTTTAAATTGTCGATATTTTATCGAAGAATTTGAATAAATAAAATCCTTGGTCATTCCCTAACTATTATGATGACTAATTAATATCCATTTTCAAAATTTAAATTCATCAAAATGCAATTACCTCAATTTTGTCTAGATTTTTGTAATTTTTGTAATTTTAATAGCATGGTAATTTAATAAAATCTATATCATTGACATGTGTTCGCGCGTGCGGTGAGCCGTCGGTGCCCGGTAGGTACTCAATAACGAATTTTACGAATTACACACACTAACTCCRATATAATTGGTATATGAAATCCCTAAATATTACTCCTTAAATCATGTCACGCTCCAGTCACCTTAAATTTAAAAAC